ACGAGATGGGCTGGTCTTGGGATGAGGTTGGGGGTGGGGAGATTTTGAAGCTAGTAAAGTCCACATTGAGACCATTGGGTTGTAGGCTTCCAAGGCTGAATATGATGTGCTGTTCCTCGAGTTTCCGTGTGGCATCATTGTGACACTAGAGGAGGCCCAGGATGGACATGTCGTCCAGGGAGTGGGAGAGGAAGTTGAAGTGGTTCACGACTGGTAGGTGTTGTCGTTTGTCGCAAACGTGCTCCACATAGCAGTCTCCGCTTGGTCTCCCCAATGTACAGGAGGCCACATCGGGAACAACGGATACAATAGACCACATTAGTGGATGTGCAGGTGAACATCTGTTTAATGTGGAAGGTTTTTTTGGGGCCTGGGATGGAGATGAGAGGAGAGGTGTAGGGGCAGGTGCAGCCCCTCCTGCGGTTGCAGGGAAAGATGCCGAGGGTGGTGGGGCTAGTGGGGAGTGTGGAGTGGACGAGGGAGTCACGGAGAGAGCGGTTCCTCCGGAAGGCAGATAAGGGTGGGGAGGGAAATATATCCTTCAAAGTGGGGTCAGATTGCAGGTGGCGGAAGTGATGGAAGATGATGCGTTGAATCTGGAAGTTAATGGTGTGATACGTGAGGACAAGGGGAATTCTGTCTTTGTTTTTATTGTGGGGAGGGGGTGTGAGGGCTGAGGTGCGGGAAACGCAAGAGATGTGGTAGGCAGCGTTTTCAACCATTGTTGGGGGGAAATTGCGGTCCTTGAAAAACGAGGACATCTGGGATGTTCAGAAGTGGAATGCCTCATCTTGGGAGCAGATGTGGTGGAGGCGGAGGAATTGGGAATAGGGAATCGCATTCTTGCAGGAAAGTGGGTGAGAGGAGGTGTAAAAAATATATTCATTTGTTTTTAACCATCCCTTTTGTCTCCTTAAAAGAATTACATTATAGCATTCTGAGGAAGGGTCACCACACCTGAAACGTTAATGCTGATTTCTCTTCAAAGATGCTGCCAGGCCTCCTGAGCTTTTCCAGCAACATCTGTTTTTGTTTGATTTACAACATTCGCAGTTCTTTCCGTTTTTACATTATACATGTTTTTGCCTCAGCAGAAATATAATTTGGTAAGATTTAAAAGGGCACGTATTGAATTGAGATCTTGAGATTAAAGTCTAATAGTAAACTTCAGGTACAGAGGTCATTTTCAAAATTATAGAATGCAAACAAATGATTGTCATCAATACCCTTTTCTAAAAAATACCTTAAGTATTTCTGAAATTCAGTGGCAAAAATAACTACAAGTCTTAATATTTTGAACAGATAGAACTGATTTTGTGGATTTTCAGTGGGGAAATTAATTGTCACATATTTTTGTTGACAGTTTTGCATTGGAAGGGTGTCATTAATCAATTTCTAGGCCATTAGGTTTGAGTTTCTTCTGTTCCTTTTTTTTCTACATGCTTAGGCCAATAAGAACATTTACAGCGAACTAGGGGGGAGTTTAATTCTGAGTTTGTTGCTATTAGCAGCAAGAGGCACTGTACAAAGGGAGTTTGAAGGGAGATCCTAGTATTTAAAATTAACTAAAATTAACATCAAACAGTGACAATAGATATCATGGCTTTAAATATCCATACATATAACCAAAGAAAATCAAGAAACTGAACTGCAAACTGAGTCATGGCTGTTGTAAATGGATTTTTGTCATACCTTCAGCCTCAGTTGAAGGAATTGCTTTCATCACTAAACCTGTGCATCGACTTTTGAACTGTCTTGTATTTTCCCTGTTGCTCAATGCAATCTGCAGTGACAACAAATACAAAGTGTTGGTTGCAAAGTCTATTTTGAATTTAGATACAAATAACAAAGATAAAGCTTAGTGCTGATTTTGACTTTAGGCAAGTGGATAGGTCTCAACTGTGCTAAAATGTACTCTGTGGATCTGAAATGGGGCTGTACGATATCAATAATGAATCAATTATTGTTTTTGTACAATATTCTGTATGGAAAGTTGTAAAGATAAGCCCAGCAATCATAGACCAGAAAGTTTGTGATGGGAAAGTTAAAGAAACAATTATTAGTGATAAAATCAATAGTTGCATGATAAAATGTGCGTTAGTTTTAAAAAACCAACTTGCATTTGTTAAGGGAAAATCACATTGAACTAACTAACAGGCATTTTTTGGAGAGGTAACATAAAGGGTTGGTAGAATCATACAGCACAGAAATAGATGCTTTGGTCCAGTCCATGCTGAACATAATCCCAAACTAAACTAGTCCCACCTGCCTGCTCCTGGCCCATATCCCTCCAAATCTTTCCTATTCATGTGTCTATCCAAATGTCTTTCAAACATTGTAATTGTACCCACATCCACCACTTCCTCTGGAAATTCATTCCACACACAAAACACTTTTTTAAAATCTCTCTCCTTTCATCTTAAAAATGTGCCCCCAGTCTTGAAATCCCACAGCCTAGGGAAATACAACTACCATTAACACTAACTATACCTCTCATTATTTTATAGACTTCTATCAGGTTGCCTCTCAACCCTTAGCGCCAGTTAAAAAAAAAAAGTCCCAGCCTATCCAACCTTTCTTTACAACTCAAACCTTCCATACTTGGTAAAAACCGAAAGAACTGCGGATGCTGTAAATCAGGAACAAAAATAAAGTTGCTGGAAAAGCTCAGCAGGTCTGGCAGCATCTGTGGAGGAGAAAACAGAGTTAACGTTTCGGGTCCGGTGACCCTTCCTCAGAACTGATGGTGGCTGGGAAAACGTCAGTTTATATGCAGAAAATAGGGAGGTGGGTGGGGTAGGGAGTAAACGATAGGATAGAGCCCAAAGAGAGACAAAGGCAGTTGGACAGACAAAGGAGTTGCTAACAATCAGGCTGGGAGGGTGAATAGTTGTTAATGGGGACTGTTAGTGACTAACAACAGGGGGTGTGTAGTGGCAGGCTATGTGATAACAAGGCCTGGTGTGTGGGGTGGGTGCTGGGACATGGGAGAGTTTAGGCCCTAAAATTATTGAACTCAATACAGTCTGGAGGGCTGTAGGGTCCCCAAGAGGAAAATGAGGTGTTGTTCCTCCAGGTTGCGATGGGCTTCGCTGGAACACTGTAGCAAGCCGGAGACAGAGATGTTGGCCAGGGAGCAAGGTGATGCATTGAAGTGGCAGGCAACAGGTAGTTCAGGGTCTTTTCTGCGAGCAGAACGTAGATGTTCTGCGAAGCTGTCGCCAAGTCTATGCTTCGTTTCCCCAATGTAGAGGAGACGACATTGTGAGCAGCGAATGCAGTTGACTAGATTCTGGGAAGTGCAGGTGAAGTGTTGCTTCACCTCGAAGGTATGTTTGGGCCCTTGGATACTGGGGAGGGAGGAGGTAAATGGGCAGGTGCCGCACCTTCGCCGGTTACAGGGGAAGGTGCCGTAGGGCTGTGGGGAGGTGTTGGGAGTGAAGGAAGTGTGGACCAGGGTGTCCCGGAGGGAACGGTCCCTGCGGAAGGTGGACAAGGGAGGGGAGGGGAATATGTGACTGGTGGTGGCATCTTGCTGGAGGTGGCGGAAATGGTGTCTGATGATCTTCTGGATCTACCATCCCACCAGCATCCATATCCAGAAGATCATCAGACGCCATTTCCGCCACCTCCAGCAAGATGCCACCACCAGACAC